AAATGCTTCACATAGTTGAAATTAAAAAAAATCGCTTCTTCCATATTAGATTATACCTTTAGAAATTACGTATAAAAATTTGAAAACGATAATTCAAAAAATTTTTGGGTTACAGCGTTCTGAAGTGTAGCCGCTCAGTTCAGTCAGCGCCATCAGTTTATCTTTAAACGCATTTGTCTCAAAACTATATTTTTTCAAATTTTCTTGTCGATCACTATTAAATTTTCTGCATGTTTTATATATACTTATAGTCCTCCTTGCAAGGACCTACCGGGTTTTTGAGCTGATCTAAATTTTGGAGCTCCCAAAGCGACAAAAGTTTTGTGTAAAATTCAACTTGTTTTTAAACCACCACCATTTTGTCAATATCTTCTAGTACATAATTTTTTTTAGGCTTCATCTGCGGAGATGGCCGGAATCACAGTGTAGGACCGTTTTTTATGGCCGTCCGAGATGTAAAGAAGAGTAATTAATTTTTTTTTTTTCAAAAATTGTAATGTGTATACTTAAAATATGTACATATATGTTTGTATATACCCTTTTAAGACTATTGATATGGATTTTTTTTTTAATAATCAAAAATCTTATTTTTTAGGCTGTCACCTTAGATGTATCCCTTAAGTTAGTCTTTAACTAAAAGAGGCTATGATTTTTTTTTAAGGGACTTGGTATTCTTATATCTTTTGGATGGTCGGCTACCTTGGTGTTAGGTCGTCCGGTATGTAGTTTTTAACCTTAAGTACGAGTCTTTGAGCCGTTATCTCTTGCATTCTCTTTGTTTTAAATATGTTAGAGTAGTTCAACACTATTATTTATAGATATAGCTATTTTGTCAAATTCATAAACTAAAAATGAAGATGGTCTTGATTAAAGAATTATTGGCCGATCAAAGCATCAAATGGATCGACCATCCACTGTACAGTCGTGAACTTGCATTAATTTTTTTATATCAAAATCCAAAGTCTATTGATAAAAACTGTACGAGTTACAATCGGCTTTAGGTAGACATGTAAGCCGGACACGACTTTACCATTCGATCAAATTTGACCCGGATTTTTTCATCTGGGCGCCCGAATCTACACAATTTTTTTCCATATTGATAAGACCTGGTTACAATATTGCCTGGATTTTTCGCTTAAAAACCTCACTATGACCTTTTGATTTTGTTAATAGTCGCATTATGAACACATACCTTATTTCAGATGTGCAACTTATTTTTCTGTTTCATTGAGGGTCCTAGAAGTTGCAATTTTTGTTAGAAATACATTTGAAAGTTTGATCTACCAAAGAACGATCGCTATTAAAAGATTATTTCAATAATTTTAAATTTTGATTTTCGCGCGATTTGAACCAACGACACAGAAATTTATAGTCACGCACAATGCTATGTAACCCAGTATACACACACTAATATATTTTTGTCATATTTTTCTATTTTGTTCTCAGCCATTTGTCTATGTACTCGTGTACATATTTGTAAACATATGTATGTATCTGTATAGGTATATATGTATATTTATAGACAAAAATTTCATTATTTTGCTGAGATCTGGTCAATTAAATTGTGAATCATTTCGAATTGTTTATGGCTGATGCATAATATTAAGAATATTAACCTCCTGCCAGTCTGTGTCAATTTCATGGTGGCGACAACAATTACGAAAATAATGAAAATACAAACTATTCGCTGTGATGTCATATGCACCCAAGCTCTTGTACCAACATATTATAAGTATATGCGTGTATGGGGGCAGGGAAAAGGGCATACCTCAGTAATCCAACAAGAGAATTTTTAAAATTCGATTTCAGTAGTAAGTTTTCCTCATACTTTTGTATACTAACGGGAAAATATTCGATACATATTCGAAACATATTCATATGTAAGCAATGTATATTGTAAACGACTTTTTAATAAGCGCACTACCTTCGGGCTTTGGCTTTTTAAACTTAAGTGGCTGACATTAAAGATTATAACTTCAGGAAATGTCAGACAACGCGAGGGATCCATATTCAGCTATCTCAGCGTGATCACCGCCTCGAAGCCAGTGAGAAGACTTTCATATCCCAAAATTTCGACCTTTGTAGAACCCACCAGTTAATTACATAGCTCTACAAAAAAATATATTTTTTTTGTTGCCCTGTAGTCATCGAAAATTTTGATGGTTTCAAGTATCCAGATTACGAATTTATTCATGAAAATACTGAATGTGCTCTTGTTTTTATGATATTTTCAAAATTTATTTTTCCAGTCATGACGCAGGTTCTTCACCATTTTTCCGCGCATAAAAACATCACGTGATCCCCACTTGCAGGCTTTCTACCGAAAATATGCGAAACTTTATGCGGAAGGTTTTAAGGTTTAATAAAAATAAACCTATAGTCTGAAAATCTTCCTTTGTGTTTCTAAAGTAGTTCGCATGCCCTCAGAAACATGATGCCGCCAAATTCCCAGAAATCATTACAATCCATTAGTGGAAGTCAAAAGAACGGTGAAACATCTACGTCGAAGTTATTTTTTCAAAATGAACTCAGGCATTTAATACGTGATCAATTTGGGAATGATATGTATATAGCAATTGGTCAAAGTGAGAACAGAGAGAGAGAGAGAGCGGTTCCACTAAGATCTAAAAGCGACGAAAGAAATGTGTTATGGTTGATGGGTTCGACTTATTGTGGCAGATTATTGCTGATCCTTAGAAAACACATTGTCAACTGAAAAACTATAAAAGAAAAGCGCATAAAAAGCGTTTAACTGAGATATAACAAATTTTTTCGACATTTTCCTCCCTGTTTACTTCAATGTATCCTAATTTGTCAAAACAAAACTGATACTATAAATATAACTGTTTCATGTTTTCTGATTTTTTAATGTAAAATTAAAATAAAGATTTTAAAATAAACGAGAGCAAACCTTACAAAACCATTAATAGTGTCATGAAATGAGAGCACGGATATATCCAAAATCGATCTTATACTCATATCTAGGGCAACAAAACCACTGTAGACCAGTGTATTTTCTGCACTATGACTTTTTTAACACCGTGCTGATATATTATTAACATAGACATCTTCGATTCGCCGTATCCCTACTCGTAAAATTTTGAACCATACCAACAATTTGATGTGTGTTAAAACAAGGCTACCCAATTGAGCTGTTATTGTTCTAACGCTATATGATTATGCCAGTCGTTTACATTTATACCAGTTTTTGTTCGACTGACTTTACTGTTATTCAATTTATACCAATTTTTTACGTAATTCGCAAACCTTCAAAGTCTACCCAATCGAAGACAGCTTCACGCTTTAAGGAATAGATTCCACGAGTTGTAGAATGCTTTGCCCACAGAATTATTCAGTTATACCTGCAGGGCATACACACATACATGCATTCAAGTATGCAAGTACATTTTCAAACATTAGCCACAACAAATTAATGCTGCTCTCACACTTACGTTTCCATTGCATGATTTTAGGCGCAGAAAATTAAATATGAACGCACACATACAAATATATCACTGTACATACATATACATATGCGCCTGCATTTGCATAATTAAATCAAATAAAACTGCGTATTAAACATTTTTTCCAAAAACAAATTAAATAAAAACAAATAAAATGGTTTGCTTTTGTGCATATTTAAGTAGCATTTCAATGCATCATTTCTAATACTTTCCTTAATACAGGGAAATCCATTGTAATTACTCCTTTGTAATAGCGACGTAGCAGGGATATTTACATACATTCATACATATGTACATAAGCGCTTCGTTAATCACTGTAAGCGATTTGTGCGACTTTTTTTTGTACATTTCGCGGGAATTTCAGGAATTTAAATAAAGCTGGAAATAATTATAAAATTACCAAGTCAAGGAAATATTTTTACACTCGTGTTGAAGTTCGATTTTTGATTTAAAAAAATTTTTTTTTGGGGTTTTGCTGATTTTTCATAAAAAAAAATCCAGTTTTTTTTGTTTTTACTGATTAACTTTGATTTAAAAATTATTTCTTAGTATCTTTCTGATTTTTGATTAAAATCGAATTTTTCTTTTTTCTGAATTTTTTTGTTTTCAGATTTTTGGTGGAGCCTCCCCGTTGTGTTTTTTCTCTTTTTTACCGTTCTTCTAACTAATTTTTACGATTTCTGATAAAAAAAAAATTATTCTTTAGCCTTCCTCTGATTTTTGATAGAAAAAAATGTTGTTTTTTGGTATTTTTTTGGATTTTTCCTAATCATTTTTTTTGTTTGTTTTAAGTGGGGGATGTTTTCTGGCTATTCGCTTTTTGGCCATAATCTAACTAATTATTCTGACTGTTGATTCAAAAAAAAAACATATCTTGGGTCTTTTTCTGGTTTTTTAGTTTTGTTTTTTATGTAGGCGGGGAGATGTTTTCTGGTTTTTCTGCTATTTCACCGTTCTACTAACTGATTTACACATACATACGTATGCAGGGAGTTATCAAGCGTTGTTAAAATTTCTCATAAATGTATTTATATTTGTGTCTCTTTCACTCTTTTATAATTTATATTATAAAATATTTAAATTACATTCAAAAATTTACTTAAGTATTTACGTTATGCATTCATATATTCTATATCAATATTTTAAACATTTTCACCGTCTGTACTAAGTATTATTTAATTTAATTATATAAATTTTCTTTAAGCAATTTTCCATATATAAATAACCAATTACGTGTGTGTATATATGTATGTACAATTACAAAATTTAAAATTGAACATGAGAAAATTAAAACACTGAAAATTATTTATTTGCTAATATTTTTATATAATTTTGTTGTTGTTGTTGTTGTTGTTGTTAACGCAAAGAAGAAAACAGATGTGCTTGTGAATACATCCAGCTGATTTGAGTTAAATTTTTTTCATAAATTTCTGCGTACGCTAGAGTCACCCTAGTCACTCAATTTTTTTATGTATATATGTATGTATATATTTTATTTACATACCTATGCATATACATATGCAATTTTTCTTTATATTTACTAAATTATAATATTACGGAAACAAGTTAAACTAGAATAAAATTACATGAAAATGTAAGGTTTCTCAGTTGGATGTGAGGAAAGGCCTAGCGCGCTCCCTTTCGTTTTACATTTACGTTAGTTAAACTTAATAATTTTTTTTTTTTCGTTTTTGTTTTACTGAAAATAAACGAATTTTTTGTGTTTTGAACAAAGCAAAATAATTACTTTAATTTGAATCTACTAAAGCAGCACAATCACGTGTGTCTTTAAGTGGTTGATAACGGAGCACAAGTACACAGCTGACAAGTCGAGTTTATGTACAAACCTACATACCACTATATATGTATATAACACCAAGATTTGGGCTTGTGGGCGTGGTAATTCAATTATAAAGTTATCAGTCTATTCTTTTATATCTTCTAAAGATAAACGACGGAAAGTATTTAAAACAAGATCAACAAAAACAATTGAACATGCGTTAGCGCAAAGTAACGGTCACTGGTGCGTAATCATACTTGTGGTAAGGGGTGGTACTAAAATGTTGCTGCGAGTTGCTTAATGTTCAACAAAAATTAGATTTTTGTTAAATTTTTAAGTGATTTGCTCTAACAATTTCATGTCGTAAATTAACGCAGGCAGGCAAAGCGAGCACGTATGCAGATTTTACTAAAGTAATGCTCGTATTGTATTACAGTAAATACGTTAAATAGTAGTTGAGTCCACAGAAACCAATTTTTACAAATAAATTATATATTAAAAAATGGAAAAAAATTTGTTTAATGTATTTTCGAAAAACTAAATTACTAAAATTATTTTTCTTTGAAATTGTAAATTTTTAAAATTTAAAGAGCTACAAAAATATTGCAATTTAGACGCAGGGATACAATTTTTTTAAATCTTATATCAAGCGCGATATTTAAATTTTATAATCTAACTTAACTGCTTGAATTTGCCATAATTTGTAAAAAAAAATATATATATATATTTACATTTGCTATAGCTTTATTTACAAAATAGAGTCCCTTAATGACTGAAAGGTTATTTTTACAATTTACTAAAAATAATAAATCAAATATGTAAACGAACGTTTGAAAGATGCTAAAGTCCGCCCCAAATCGCAAAACTCGCTTTAAACGGTTATTAGCAGACCGTTGGAACTCTGTGGACCCACTACTAGTAGTAGCATTATCTTATATTATATATATGCGCCTAAGTATCGCCTAACGTGTTTGAAACCATTTCTGCACATATAAATGTACAAGTAGAACCTTGCCTGCAGCTATAATTCGAGTGGCCAAGCACACACACACGTACAACACGCCAACAGCATGCATGTACAGAGCTTTGTTAACCATTGCAAGTTCAACACCTCAACTCGCCCACGCCCACATTACTTTTTAGTTAATAGTTTTTTTTTTTGTTTTTTTTTTTTTGCTTATGTGAAGAACCACATTTTAAGTACCCGTTTTCTTTAACGAAAATGAGCACCCACTCGCCCGCATACACACACACGCACATTTATACAACGCACCCTTAAGCGTGATTTGATTAGCAATCGGCATGTCACATACAACTTGTACACATTTTGGGCATATGATTTTGCATTTGATAAGATCAGCCTGTGCGGCTCGGTGGTCTACGATGATCTTAGGGTATTTTCCTTTTTTTTATAACAAAAACTATTGCCGTTGACGGTTTTGCCTGTATATGGCTCACTAGCTCAATTGATATTCCATAATAGTAATTGTTAACTTGTCGCCGTTGTTGTTGTTTGTAATTGTTGCTGTTGTTTCTTGTCCCACCACTCTTGTATGCTGTCAATCATCTGTTTTCGTCGGAAACGCAACGATTCGCTGATGCACATTTTTATGAAATTTGATTTCATTTCAAAATCGCCCTTAATTAAATTGAGATGTTCTAACAATTGTGTATAATTACGACCTGGACGTCGTATATCGCGAAAAACTTGTGTTCTAATTTCCAGGTTATGTTTACGTGCCGCATCTCGTTGTTCATCTGTGAGTGGCGGTGGCCCCGACACCACAATTGAGTTACGTTGACTAGCGCCGTTACCAATGTTATTGCTACTTGTTATACTGTTAACGCTGTTGTGTTGATTGTGATTGGTCACATGATTTGAATTAGTTATACCCACATTATTGGTCATTGACTCGCGTTTCAACGTATCGAAATTGGCTGAAAGTGTCACAGGCGACAGTGAATTCGCCACTGCGGCTAATGGTGGTGGCATTAGCACAGACTCTGCTGTTTCCATTTTGACCGGCGCACCTGCAGTGACTGTGGTATCGGGATTCGGCGCGGCAGTTGCAGTCGATATGCCAGCATTGCCATTGTGGCATTGTTGTAATATGCGCGATATTTCTTGAGCATCGTTAATATCGTTGTGTTGATAGGCAGATGCTTGGATATTAAGTGCGGGAGTTGCTGCGGTTACAACGGGTACTGGCGCTCCCAATGGAGGCGTTGTTGTAGGAATACTAAGCAAAGCATTACCGTTGATTTGAAGAGGAGCAAATACGTTAGGCGCTATCGTTGGGTTGGTATTGGTCAACACGTTTGGCGCTACTATAGAGCCGATTGCAGCAGGCACCACATCTACAGGTGTCATAATTGATTGACCAAAATTATTTATATAAGGTTGTGGTGAACCTGGCGGCGACATTGGTGGTAATACATTGTTATTGCTTGGCATCTGTACTATAGGTGGCAGTGGCAATGTGCCACCAACCGTCATGCCAATAACAGCCGTAGAATTGATTGGCGTTGTGCTGGGCCCGCTCATATCTGAATCACAGCTACTTTCGTCGCTAATGCCGTTGATAAAATTACGTACATAACCATTGATTAGCGGTTCACCAGGTTCGTCTTCGTTGAAATCAAACGCGACAACAAGTCTATCCGGATCACCGTCATCGGACATGTTCGATGAAATGGATGCGGTTTCTGAGGCGCTATCATCATCGAAATCAGACATTGAAGAAACCGATGAGTTTGAGGCATTTGCAGATGTTACATTCAAACTTGGTGTGCTAGGTCGCACGTCCGTGGAAGTACGTCGAAATATATAGTCCTTGCGTATGGGACCGGCCTTGCGTTTGCGTGCACGTGATGCGTCGATTTTCTTTGGCACAATGCCACCTGGCACACCTGGTAGTGGCGCTCCACCTGCACCATTATTTGATTTCATTGGCGCCACATCACTGAGATCAGCTTCGTCCACCATAACCATATGCTTATCCTTTTTGTATGGATTACCGAACATGTGTTGTCTTACGTTCGTCGGTTCGATTTCGCGCAAAGGATTATCCTTATTCTTCAAGTATTCCTGGTAATTACCCATTTCGGCAATGGGTAGGCAGTGTCCGGAATCTTTCGCCACCAAACTGGTGGGCGTTGGTCGTAGCACAGTTTCACGCATACGCGCTATTTCTTCCATCAAATCACGTCGTGGTATATCGAATGGATTGCGATATGACTTCGCCGACGATTGACGTGTTAGCTGTGGTACAACAATTGTGTAGTTCTCAAGTGGTTCAATTTCAGCGTGTAATTTTGAAAAGGTCTCTCTCAACAATGGATGACGTACCAGATCGCGTCTCAATGGTACGCCGGGATTTAATTTTGCAGTTTCGATTTGTCGATACGGCGGTTTCGGTTGTTTCAACTGTTTATACACCTTCATACAGAGATTTTCTTGATCTTGCTTTGCGGTGTTTTTGATATGCTTCAACTGATTGGCGATGTTCGGTGACAAATAATTGTCGACATTTTCCGGCAATAAAAATTGGAGCAGCTGATACGGTACATTGATGTTTAGTAACGCTTTCCGCAAAAACGGGCAGTAGTATGGCGGTATTGAGCGCACATAAGCGTTAAATTTATACACGAGATCGTTGGGCGGACTCATATTATACTTGTGTATAAGGTCGTGCAGCAGCGGCAACAACGCCGGATAGTTGTATGCCAATACATACAGATGTACTTGTGTTAAATTCTGTGAGGCCTTCAAATAACCAAATGGTAATTCAAAACCATGCATTCCGTTCGATATGATCACCTGCCAACATTTGTTCATTTCACGTTTTTGCAATATCTGCAAAGTAAGCGGACTGCCTTCGATCTCGTACTTATCAACGGGAAAGCTGCGCACCATTTGCGGTTCGTCAACAGCGGGTGTGACTACTTTCAGTTTGGGGTGTGCATCGCGGGGCGGTAATGTTACCGCCTTCGGGTCGGGCCAATATGGTTCCGGCAAAGGCCAGTATCCAATTGGGAAGGTCTTTTGGGAAATATGTTTTTGCACGTAAATCATTTTTTTCATTGGTTGAAATATTATGTCCTGAAGCGCTTCATTTGGCACACCGTCTTTTGGTAGCATTGGTTCAAATTGTAAGACGACTCCCGGTTGCACTTTCTGCACCAAACTCTCTATACATTGATTTAGAACATAATGCGAACGCACACGATACGAACGTCCGCCTGTCACCACACACATACGTTCTATGGGCGAATCATCGTGTGGTACTTTGCCCTCAGCACGTTCATCTACTTTATTGCCAGGCATACGCAGAACTAACGAAAATAGTCGTTGATCCCAACGAAATGGTTCTTTTGTGAAATTTGTTCCTGGTATTTGTGTATTCAATGGCAGTATAATATCTTGATGTACACCATTGCGGTACGAATACCGTCCACCATCGGTGATCACAATGATAACAGACGGCTCCAAGTAAAATGGACACCGGCCCTGACCGTATGTGTCGATGCCCGATTGCATGCGATTCAGATTTAATAAATCGAAGGCATTCTTTAATGATTCACCCATTGAGGTGAGTCCATTGCTTTGCAGATTTTTCAACTCATTCATGAATGTTGCATGATTCTCTTTCCAACCGGCCTTAACATTAGCGGGTGGTTCTTCGAAAGTTAATAGCATATAGCGATCACCCAGACAATCCTGTGTGCGTTGACGATATTTCAGGAATGTCTCTACAGCGCCCTTCGCTATATCCAGATATGATTTTTGTACGCCATTCACGTAGGCTTTCTGGCACATCGACGCGGATGTGTCGACCAAAAATAGTATTATGGTCATAGCGTCCGCACAGTTACCGTGTTAATGCACTTCTTGATTTTTTAGGGTGCGTTCCTTTTATAGTTATTTTTGTTTAATTTGCTGATTAGTTTAGTTTTCCTAAATATTATTTTTTTATTTGTCTAAAAAAAATAATGCACTTGTTGAATTACATCTGCATCGACTTCGGGAATAAAAATCGCGTTATTATGTCTGAAAAACAGTTTGAAAAAATATAAGGCATGTTAAGCAATCGAATTTCGTATAGAACTGAGAGAAAGAGAGAGAAGTACAAGGTTATTTTATTTATATTTAAGTACTAAAATTTTTTTTATTAAATATCAGTATGTAATATATAACAAATTTTGTTTAAGTAAATATTTAAAAATAATTACTTGCAAAATTAATTAATTAAATCAACTAAGTACTTGTTTAAATCCATTGAACTCATATAGTAAAGAATTAAAAAGTAGACTTCAACAAAGATTAAGTGTAATGCCGATTTTCTCCAAAAACAGCGCTTCCTATCCAATTTTTATTTAAGCTCAGTACGTTTATAAACATTATCATTTTTTTATATACGCTGAGCATTGTATATTATGTTTGTCAGCAAGAAGAAAACGTCGGAGACCCTATAAAGTACATATGTACATATGTAGCATGATGAGCTGAGTCGATTTTAACCTGTCCGTCTATCTGTATATACTAGTACCTCACTTTTTGTGATATCGATCTGAAATTCTGCACACGTCCTTTTCTCGCCAAGAAGCTGCTAATTTGTTCGAAACCCACGACATCAGACCACAAAAGCATATAGCTGCCATATAAACTAACCGATCAAAATCAAGTCCTTGTATGGAATTTTTTATTTGTAAATGGCATTATAGCTTCGGATAAACCGAAGTTACTGTTTTTTTCTTATTCATAGATTCATTTTTGCAACTAGTTGAAGGAATACTAAACACATTTCTTCATTCAATAGCATAAGCTTGTTGTTTCCCAATCGAAACGATTAGATTCTTAAAATCCCAAAATATAGCCGGAGGTTAAACAAAACACTCTTTGTTCTGTAAATCGTTTAACTAGAATATAATTAATATGAAATTTCTAAAAACTCAATAAATTCGACTGTGTAAGAATTATTCAATTGCAATTCATTTAAAAGCAATCAAAAGTACATTTTTCATGAGGCCTTTTTCAATGTAAACTATGCGATTTTAAATAGGTTTAAATCATACTAACAAGAATACGTTAAGCAATATTCAATAACCTTGGCAAGAATTATGCCTAAAGATGGCGCTATTAGGCCGGAAGGACATAACATGTGCAATTCCACAAGTTGAAAATTTCAAAACTTTGAAGCACATACTACATATACATGTATATAGAAAAGTAAATAAAACTCAAACAATAATGTGCATTGCAAAGCAAATAGATATACCACCGACTCGACTTTACACTTTATAAAGCAATTAACTTTCTTTCATTCTGAGTCTAATGTTACGCATGCTAGTCCCCAGCTCCAACATACACTGCACTCTAAAACTGGGGAAAAGAAACGTGCGGCAGACGATGAAATAATAGTGGCAATGTATGAAAAGCAGTTGTTGGGTATTTGTTCACTCATCACTTTTAGCTCAATTGAAACCAATGATAACTGAAATATTTTGTTTTGGCCACAAATGAACGAATATTCTTACTATAGAATACTTTGCAACCGTTTACGATACCGCTGAATATTTACTATTACCACGGTTAAATGTTATCGCAACTTTTTTGTCGTTCTGTTTTTTTTTATTTGTCACTGGATATAGTACAAATTTAAAAACAATTCGATTTTCCTCTCTTTTAGCTAAAAGAGAAACCAAAGTAGTGGTGAGAAATAAGCTGGCAGCGGTGTTGTCACTTAAGTAAATATGTTAACCACTTAAATAAATATATTAGCATACATTATTTGAAAATTGTTAAATAACAAAATTTTTGAAGTGCATTCGTATATTTAGTAACGATTTTAAAATCTTTACAAATCATATACTAAATATACGGATTTTTTTCTTTAACTATTGAAAAGTTAAGCTATTTATTTTGCTTAACTCTCAGAAAACATGGGCCAATATATTTTTTTTTAAATAGAAAAATTGTCACAAAGTGTTTAGTTCCTCTTTTGAAAGTTAACGAATTTCTTCAACACCTGATTTTGAGAGCAGACGGCAACACTTCATTAGCAGAAAAATTCTCACGTGCGTGAAAGCGAGACGACCAATAAACGACCGAAAGTTTGACATTTGGCAACAACAAAAACACAGAAAATAAGAAAATGATGAAAAACGTTTAAAAGAGAATAAAATCCAATAGCTTTGCAACGGTTGGCTGTATTTTGATAGCTCGTCTAGGAGCTAAATGCTAAACACTAGTCTTGAGCTTCATAGTGGCTCTACAATTCTACAAGTGCTCAAGAAATGTGCTAAATGAGTTTTGACGTTAATTAAATCATATAAACAAATGTCACACAATTAGCAATAAAAAAATCAACACTTTTATCTCTATGCTAAATTAAATTCACACCAACACAAATTAAATGTACGTCCTTGACGTAAAGAAACTCACAAACGGTAACATGCTGCCGAAAATTGTAAACAAAATTCTGATCACTACAAGTGAAGAGTGAGGGTATGAGTGCACGCACGCATTGTTCAATTAGTGGGGTGAGTGGACACACTATACCGCGCGGCTGACACTGATAAGTACTTGTACATACATGTGTACCATTGTAGTAGCCCCAAAGCCTTTGCAATTTAACTTACAGCAACAACTTCAAACTAACAGCTATTGCTATCACTAAGGTGAATCGACATGCATGAGCATAATCTTCTCACATTTTTCGCTAATTTGTTTTCAAGCTTTACGTTTTTTTGTAAATAACGTCTGAATGCAAAAACAAAACGACGTTTACCAGTTGTCATTGCCTTTACAGTTGCCGTCGTCACCATCATAGAGTGTCATTACACTGTTTCAAACTTTTTGCTCCAATTGTTAAAAGTTTGAAAAGTTTTCTGATTTTAATAAATACACTTTATGCTATTTTAATATTCCTTTAAGTGGGAGTCATCCCAATTCAATAGAACGCTGTGCAATACCTTCTTCTGCTCGTCAGCTACGCTCCATACGCTGTGCTTAATAAAGCTTCTCCATCTTCAGTTTCCTAAAGAGGCGTTCTAGTGGTAATCAATTTGTGCACAAAGTGTGTGGTGCGACGGAACGACTACATCAATGCAACAACAAATATACGTAAATATATCGTACACACACGCACACACACCATTAAATGAACAGCAGATGAGAGGACGAACAGTCGGTAGCGCCACTGCGGGAGCACCAACGATTCCCCAAAAGTACTGCAAACTGTTGTTGTGAAGTGTTGCTGTCGCCTCTTCTTTTTTCCTTCTACTTCTCGCTCGCTCTCTCTCTCTCTTTGTTTCACACTTTTGTGCGCCGCTGCTTTGCTATTTGCTTACTACAACAAATTTATCACCACTGCGAGCGAGCACTGCTATTTGTTTTTGTTCCGTCCCGAGTATTTAGTTTTGATTACGATTTTTAACCGGTGCTACCAACCTTCCTTTCCAAAAGCAAGAAACAAACTGTCAAAATTTCACTGGACTACTAGCATTCGCCGTCGTTCATCGTTCGCCCCTCGTCCATATGCACAAGCAGACACCAAGAATTTTCAAATTTCCTTTGCGCTCACTTTCGTACAGCGAAATATGCACGTAATGACGGGGATAAAATTTTCCCTAAAAATTGACATTCGATGATGGCTGCAATACAGTTGACTGTGTTTCGAATTTAAAAAATTTAACTTAAGCCAAGTATGATCAAACAAAAATATTATATAATTATAAATAGGATTCTATAAATATAAAAAAAAAAATTATTGTATCACTATACACTTCTTCTACTTCTAAAGTAGTCAGCTTTTATTTATATCATAATATGATATATTTATCCTAAAGTAACCTCATCAATACGTACTTGTATTTAAATAAATAAATCTAAAAAAAAATCACGAAAATATGTGAGGGGAATGTTGTAGTGACAAACGGAAATAAATAATAATTGTCGTAATAAAATATTCACGCTTATGTCTAAATATTTTTTATACTAAATTGACCTGAGCGTCGGAACACAAATTCGACAAAATATAAAAATCTCGAATAACGGTGAAGAGTATTATGAAAGCATTTGTTTTAATTTCATGCAATAACAAAAACAAGTACAAAATTAATGATAACTTTACAAAAATTTCATTAGACATCTGTATACAATTCTACAAGAAATTTTTTAATTAACTATACCTTTTCATGCAATATGTTGTAGAATTCCCTGGCGAACCAGCGTTTCCACTTGCGCACGCGGCAAATAATGTTGACTGTTCTTTTTTAAATATATCACTGCACCATCTTCTAATTCAAATTTGCCATAATCTTCCAGACAACGCACTTCAATATATAAAGATTTTGGTGGGCGTAGATCACCCGTTAAATCAATCCCCTGTCCATCACCAATAGAACGCATGTAGGATGCTAATGACTTTGAATATGTGTTGAAGAAGTTTACTTCAGGTTCGCACAGCGATGTTTTAATATCTGCTGGTATAATTGGTCCAAACTCCCAACGAAGTGCTCTAATACGTAGCAAACGTTTAAAAAGATATGTTAGTAGACAGCGTTTATTTCTTTGCAGGGCGGCGTGTCGAAAATTTAGTAATGGCCACAAAGTGCGATCACCAGAGGTTGAATAATTTGCACTATGTAAAATAATGCAAACTCAATATCTTAAATTATTATAATACTATGCAACTTACGCTTGTGCACAGTTTTCTTCAAAAATTGCTTTAATTTCCTCCAATACTTGACGCACTCCATCATCCTGTAATGCATATTCAAACATTTCTCAAACCTGACAAATTTAAACCCTTTTACTTACATCAAAAGGTGGAATAGTCTGTGAAGAACGTTCTAGTTCTTTTATTAACTCGAAAGCTTTATCAGCAAACATTTTACTTGATTTCGCGATTTTATTTAACTTTTTGCACTTCAGCAACTAAAATACTGAACAAATTTTAAGCGCGTTTTTGTTGAATTGTTTACGTTTTACTTATGTCATTACACTTGCTTCGTTGTCAGAGTTCCAGTGTTGCGTAGCTTGTTCACTTATCTTACCAACCAACAAACCATAAGAAACTGTCAAAATCAGCTGTCTCCTATGGTTTTGGCGGTATTTACAAAAAAACAAAAAGGAAATAAGCTCGTATGGTATAGTAAAGTGAAATAGACGTAGTATACAAAATATAATTGCGAAATAAGTTATAAAAACATATAATAGTGCATTTAAATATGCCGGAATATATAATCGCCGGCATACCGGTGCATTTTCCATTTGAACCTTACGATGTACAAACGGCATATATGGAAAAAGTAATCAGCTGCCTACGTGATGGCACGAATGGTGTGCTGGAGTCTCCAACTGGCACGGGTAAAACATTAAGTCTACTATGTTCATCTCTAGCTTGGTTGTTGTCGCGAAAGGCGGATATGCAATCATTAGTACAAAGGAATGCGAGGGGCGGAGCAGCAGCACAACAAGCGGTTAATGAATTCAATGCAATACAGTCGAGAAATGCTAGCTGGGGCATACCAAAAATTATATATGCCTCTCGTACACATTCCCAACTAACGCAAGCCATGCAAGAGTTGAAACGTACATCATACTCTTTTATGCGCGCCGTAGTTTTAGGATCGCGCGACCAATTATGCATTCATCCAGAAGTTATGCGAGAACAAGGCAATTCCAACAAAGTGCAACTTTGTAAATTGCGCATACAAACGCGCACATGTTCATTCTACAATCGTGTGGAATCCAAGAAAGACAGTCCTGAGTTAAAAGAGCAATCTGTAATGGATATTGAAGATTTGGTGAAAGTAGGCCAGAAACTTAAAGTGTGTCCCTATTATGCATCTAAAGAATTGACTAGTGACGCGGATATAACATTTATGCCATACAATTATCTTTTAGATCCAAAAGCGCGTAAAGCAAATAAAGTTGACTTGAACAATACAATTGTAATATTAGATGAGGCACATAATATAGAAAAAATTTGCGAAGAATCTGCATCTGTGCAAATACGTTCGTCGGACATAGCTTTGGCTATTGACGATGTCACGCATGTAATGAAGGCAATGATGAGTGAAAACGCGTTAGATTTCATGAGCAATGACGAGCCGAAAGACTTTAAATTAGAAGATCTGGCATTACTTAAAGAGATGCTGTTGGATTTGGAGAAATGCATTGATGCTATTGTAGTCGAAAACAAAGCAGAGGGCACCACATTTCCACCTTCATTTATGTTTGATCTGTTAGCTGAGGCAAAAGTAAGTGCTCCGTTAACGAAACCTATCCAGCATATTAAATGAAATTTATTTTTTGGCAGTTTACTCCAGCTGCAGCACCTGCAACATTAAATTTGTTAGATCGACTTGTTCAATTCATGACTGTTCAGTCTCAAAATAGCGCATTTCGCAAAGGTGGTAGCTTCGAAGTGCTTTCTAATCTGCTAAGCGTCGTATTCGTTAAAAAAGAAGATATTATAGCAAAGGTGCTCAGAAGCTTCAAAGTGCATGTGCAAATCGAAGAATTGAAACAGCAGACCAAAAATTCTGGCAAGGATGGCTGGTTGTCAAAAGCGTCCAGTAGTAGCACAGTCTCCACCAAATTACCCAAAATTATTAACTACTGGTGTTTCAATCCCGGTTTTGGCATGGAACAACTTTTGAATACACAGGTACGCAGTATAATTTTAACGAGTGGCACCTTAGCGCCTTTGAAGCCATTAATTGCCGAATTAGCGGTACCAATTGCACAAAGTCTTGAAAATCCGCACATTGTTAATCAATCGCAAGTTTTCGTTAAAATTATCGGTACTGGGCCCGATCGAGAGCAGCTCATATCAAATTTTGCCAATCGGTAAGACTTCGGTGGATTGTTTAAGCTTCTTTACATAATTTTAATATATGCCTTTAGCGACAATCCGAAGTATCTCAGCTCTTTGGGTCAAACAGTACTCAATGTTTCACGTATCGTACCCGACGGTCTTCTCGTGTTCTTCCCCTCCTATCCACTGCTTAATCAATGTGTAAACGCTTGGCAGGCCAGCGGACTTTGGGCGGAAGTATCTCGACATAAGCCGATCTTTGTGGAACCACGAAGTAAAGATAGCTTTACAACAACAATGGAGGAATTCTACAAAAGTATACGCGATGCAAAGGGTGCGGTTTTTATGGCGGTATGTCGTGGTAAAGTATCCGAGGGTCTTGATTTTGCCGATCGTAATGGTCGCGCTGTGATTATTACGGGCCTGCCGTTTCCTCCACTAAAAGATCCAAAAGTGATTTTAAAGAAACGGTACTTGGAAGATAATCGCACAAAGGAGAATGAGGTATGCCAATATATTTTGTTTGTTTTTTACTATCCTCTAACTGACGACATATGATTTTTTAGCTTCTAACTGGACAAGCATGGTATAGTTTAGAGGCGACTCGTGCCGTTAACCAGGCTATCGGTCGTGTCATTCGTCATCGACATGATTATGGCGCAATTTTATTGTGTGATATGCGTTTTGCACAACCTAATCAGGTGTCACAGTTGTCCAAATGGGTACGTGGACATTTAGGCACAACACCGAAAAGTGTGCCCTTCGGTTCGATTGTGAGAGAATTACGTGAATTCTTTCGAAATGCAGATAAAACTGTAAATCACAAGCCCATGTCTTTAAAATTACTTATTTTTAACAACTATTTTCTTGAACAGCTTCCAAAACCCAAAGAGCGAAGTATCGAATCTCTGGTAAGCGAGACTTGTGAAGAAGCTGGTATTGTGCAAAGTCCTTTCTTCGCTAATTCAAAATTGGTGCTTGAAGCGAAAAATAAATTTACAACGGCGCAAACAATGGCGATGTAAGCATCTCATTTACAATATCTACGTTCGAGTATTTTACGTGAAGATATTTCAAAATTAATACATGTGCTTACAATTACCTAACAGGAAAGTTGAGAAAACAAATACAATCGAAGGTTGGACACCCGATGACTACAAAATGGCCGCAGGACGGTCTCAAAATAGTAAAGTGCCGAACGCTATGGACTTTATGAGTCGACTAGACACCAACGTAAAGGTATTGCTATGTAAATACATATACATATACATACGTATATTAGTAATTTCTGTAAGATCACGAAAAATATTAATGCTCATAAAATTGTGTCACAGTCTATAGACTTCAATGGTGCCAGCTGCAGCGATTCCCCACGACATAACCAAGTTAGTTTATATAAACGTGAGCGAAATTCACCGACTTCCAGTCCAAGCAGCAGTGGTAGTGCATCCCTTGCTAATGTTAAAAGAAAACGCTATAAATTAGTGAAGGATACCTCCATTATCGACTCCCCAACCAGCTGCACATCTCCATCTCTGGATGAATTTGGTTTTACATCAAAAGCTAGATTATCCCTTGATCCACCAGTAGTGGAAAAACAAGCACCACAAGAGCGAGTGGAGTTTTTACGAATAGTAGGTGTAATTTATTGCAAAATATCATTCAATGCTTCATGAATATATTTTTTTTTAGTTACGCAGTTCTCTATCTCCTGATGATTTTAGTGCCTTTACAGCAGCGCTAATGGCATATAGTCGTCAGGATAAAATCGAAGAATTTCTAGAACTTTTAGTGCGGGTATTGGCCAAACCGGAACTGCATTACATGCTGCGTGGCATGCGTCGATTTATAAAAATGAACCACAAAGAGTTGTTTGACGCAAGCACTGCGCATATTTTATCATAACCTCACATATGTATGTATATATATTGAACTTGATCGTCATTTGTTCCAAAATTTAATCGACGCTATGTAGTTGAGGTTTATACGCCCATTAACAATATATGTACTTCGTTAGCTACTATAATATATTTAGTATATCAATTTTTAAGCCTTTTTTGTTTAATAATAATGATAAATACAATGCGATATGTAGATATTTTAGAAATAAAAGCATGACAAATCTGAATTTATGCAGTTTTTTTTTCAATTTATGTATTATAGTCAGATGCTGTATGGATTTTCTAGTCGCTATGCAAATGATTACAGTCGAATACAGTCCTGACATGTCATGCTTTGTTATACTTAAATAGAATAAAAAATATTGAATTCAACTATTTTGTATTCTAAAAATTCCAATTCAAAATTCTTTCAATGCAATATTGCAGCAAATAACACATTTTATTTAGTATAACAGACAATAAAGAGCCCACATTTCTTTACCCATAGTTTTTACATGACTTTGCTTCAAATACAATTTATTATTGCATATATGTTTTTAATTTATACAATTTTTAATTTATATGATTTTTAATTTATATAATTTATAATATATACATAAGTAAGTTGCTCGTTTAATATTTAATTTACAGCTAAATTTCACATTTTCTTTCGCATAGCTTTTTAGAGCTAAATTACGTTGATTGTTCGAACGGAAGTTACATTGATGAGTTCATAAATTTTGTATATGTGTACATATGGTTATGTACTCATTCATAGCGCATATTCTTGTTTAAGTATTATTTAATTTTGCACAATTGCTAGATGATATCACCCGCTTGTTCTTTTAAATTCCTTTGTTCAATCCCATATTTATGTGCATACGAGTATATAGCGATTATTTGATTAAAAAATATGCATTTACATAAATATACATATATGTATTTGCTTTCAACATTTCAGTTTTTTTAAAAAGTTATAGAATGGTTTTTCCACTTTTTCAGTGAATTAATTAACTTGCGAATGTAAAGGCACAGTTTTAATTTCTTTGTTTTGACATACAATTTTTTCGTTTCTACTTTGCCTTTTGCTTCCATAACGGATACGGAAATAATAGCGCGCAATTTTAGCGCAAAGGGTGGCGAACGTAAGCATAAAGCGGAAATAACAAGAAAAAGATATTTAACAATACTAGCAAACCACTTGATGCTTATAAATTAGTAAAATTTAAATTTAACTTAATCAATACGCCAATGTAAGCCAAAACGCTCCTCAAATGTTGTACGATTATAAACGCCCACATCGGCTAACACGAGCGGTTCTGTATAGTAAGCAAAACGTCGTATATCCAAAATTGCTGCGTCAAATTGTTGCTTCCAACTGGTTAAATCCGTAACGGTCATATGTATTGGCAATTGCGGATCCGGTATATCGATAGCGGCCGACAAACGATCGAAGGCTTCGGCAATGGGACCCACTGACAGATTCACCCAATACTCTTCGGGAAAACGCTTATTTTCACAAAACGGTGCTCCCTTGCGCATAATGAATATAAGCATAAGTATTTCGTAGCGTTCACCTGCCTCATAAAAGCGTTTTGTTCGCGTCTTCTCCACAAAGTCAATGAGTAATATGAGGGGTGTATAATTTTGCAAGTGCATCAGCAACTCACGATCTGACCACACATATTTACCGCCCTTGACATTGCTGCCTGCATTCGAACTGGCTACCATACTGGTCGACAAGGAAGCGCCTGTTTGTCTAAGACAGCCGCCTTCCTCAACCATGGCAATGGATAGCAGCGTAGCTTTATATGTATGTATTTATGTAAGTTTGTATATGCGTTTAATTTTGTATTTAGTTCGTTGGCTCGTATTGTTAGGGGGTTGATAGGGCGTTTAACTAACACTGACACAAAGTGGGGCAAGGTCACGCCGAGTGATTGTGACCAAGTTGATGTGTGTGAGTGCGTTGCACCAGTTGGCTGCTATGTGTATAGTATACGTTAGTGACTGAAGAAAAAGTGCAGTTTCTTATTAAATTAATTTTCCGTTTTCTTTATTTTACTTGAACGACGCACATATGTAAATGCGTTAAATATTTAAAATTATACTTTAAGCTGTTGCAAATTAATAGATGTATTTTAGAAATCACTTCAAATATTGGTGTCGGCTGCTGCGCGTTTCGTTTGCGTGCGTTAACTGCTGGTAAACAAAACTGGATGCGAGCAAATGATGAATGCAATCGATAGCCAAATACATTTGACTAGATCCAAGAAGACGTCAATGAAGATATAGGGTGTGAATTATTAATGTAACGAAAGAATTAGACTAAGGTTTAAATTTAAAAAAATATAGAATGGCAGAAATGCATTTGCAGATAGCTATCGCCAGATGAGATCGTTAGAAATTATATCCAAATTTTTGAAGTTGGCAAATTGAGATCACCACAACATCAAAGCTAACAATTTTATTCTTATTTCATAAATAATTCTCAACTCTTTCGCAAACTGATAGAACTGCCTCAAACTTAGCATGGCTATACCCATAAGTGCAAATATCACTTTCAAAAATCTTTTCGATAACACTTTTGGCCGTTACGTGTATAATCTAAAGTTAATCGTTAATTAACTGCCCTATACATACGTAGGACTGCGTTTGTCCGCAAGGGATATGCTTGTTTGTGCGCAGGCGCTGCAACGAAATATTCCGATATTTTCTTTATTTTTCTATAATTTCCAAAAGCATAGGCATAAATAACATTGAATTGATTTTCAAAGCATTCACGTTTTATTTAAGTTTAAAAAGTCTTTCATTTTGATGGTTTATTTTTTTATAAATGCATTTGTACTCATATAAGTCTATCAGTGTTTGCACAATTAAAACTATTTTGTATAAATTTATTATTTTTAGAATTATTACAAATATTTAAGACAAGCTAAAGTTAAATGAAAATTGAAATCATATAGATTTCTTTTTAGCATTGTTAAAAATACCCAAATATTTGCCGCGTGTCATTTCCTTGGCCTCCGATACACCCAATTGATAGGCTTCATCGTACATTTTCTTTATCTCCATTATTAGATTACTGAATGGCATATTACTAAGCTCTGCAAATTTTTACAATCACTTTAGTATTTACTTAATAATTCATAAAATTTTGCACTTACGTATCATAGCATTTATGTCCTCCTGTGAGAGGTCCTTGGACCACTGCGGTACCGGGGTGCGTATAGGAGTGTCACTCATTGCAATAAAATTACTTATACCAGGAACTGCAAAGTCAACAAAGTTCAAACTTCAAAACTTTTGACATAACTACTTAAACATAAATTTATTTGTATCATTTCATTTTGTATGAATCGTCGCAGTAAACAAAAATAGAAGTTTGTTGTGAATAACAGTTAGTAGAAATAAAAAAAATGTGAGAAAAATAACAGCTCCTGAAAAATACGTAATCCTTCAAATGGCCAGTGTTTTTGAAAAGCTCTTATTGGTATCGAACTTTAAAAGAAGTGTGAAAGTGCGGATTTAATTCGAAAGTATATAGCAAGCCAAATATTGCTTATTTTTCTTAATATTTTTTTGTATTTAAATTTATATTTAACAGAACTTACTTTTTTCAGGCCATAATTCGGGGGATGTGCGTAATTTTTCGAGTGAATACAATCCATCCTCAGGTGAGTCATCTTTTATCATAGACCCTGTAAATATACGTTAAAGTTTTAGGTATTTTTAAATAATATTGATAATTAAATAAACCTTTTAAAAGTGTACGACTTCGATTTGAGTTCGACATGCTAAAACAAAATATACGAATTAAATAATGCGAAAGTAGACGTAATAAAATGTCCAAACGTGTCAAATGTCAAAAGAATTCGAATATATTCAGAGTTGCATTTTCGCTTATATTTAGGAGTTTTGCAACTAGCCATAAATATTTTACTGACAAAATTGACTAAATAATATTTAATTTCATCAAACAAAACCATTTCAAAGAGGTAATATATAAACAATGATAAATGCAGTTTGATAATGCGTTAAATATTATTATACATCAGTGTATCGTTTTATTTTTAAGTTTTAAACCTTACGTATTATGCCGCCGTTACATTAATTTAATTCAGCCAACATTGTCTGATCCCAGGTTGTTTACAAATCTATTTCGGGTAGTTCGTTTTATTCTCCTTGCTTTGTTGTTTTACAATTGTTGGCTGTGGTTTTGAATTAATTTTTTAATGAATTTAACGAAATTTGGTACGTTTTACCGTATGTTACCAAGTTTCCAACATCAATTTATATTTAAAATGCCACGACATGCTCAAACGCAACATGGTGACGCGACGGTAGATGAAGAAAACATTGTGCTCTTAAAAAACGCAATCTATCAACCTGTGCCTAGTGCTGAGCCTTTGACTTGCACGTGGTTTTATAATGTAGATCCCAATGTAGTGCCTGTTCGCAACTATGTAACAACGGTTGCAAGTCAAGATCTGAAAGTCGTGCTTCCTGAAAAGAGAAAAGCGGATAATACAGAACAAGTTGAAGCATTAAAGAAAGCCAGATTGGAAACTAAGGCACTAAAAGCAAAGCGCCCTGGATTCTCCGATGACCGATATGAGGAAACATCGTATTACTTTGAGAATGGCTTACGAAAAGTTTATCCATATTACTTTACGTTTACAACCTTCACCAAAGGACGGTGGGTGGATGAAAAAATATTAGATGTATTTTCACGTGAATTTCGCGCTCATCCACCTGAAGAATATAAACGCAGCATATTGACTGGATCTTTGAAAGTTAATTACGAATGTGTGCCTGTGGATTATAAATTAAAACATAATGACTTACTGTCGAATACGGTACATCGGCATGAAGTGCCTGTTACAGATCAACCTATTACCATAGTGCACATGGATGAAGATATTGTTGTAATAAACAAACCAGCTTCAATACCTGTTCATCCGTGTGGTAGATACAGACATAATACTGTAGTTTTTATTTTAGCTAAGGAATATAATTTAAAGAATTTACGCACAATTCATCGTTTGGATCGATTGACATCGGGCTTATTGCTCTTCGGTCGCACTCCTAAGAAAGCTCGACTACTGGAGCAGCAAATAAGAAATAGAGATGTTGAAAAGGAGTATGTGTGTCGCGTTGAAGGAAATTTCCCTGATGGTATCATTGAATGCAGGGAACCAATTGAAGTTGTCAGTTATAAGATTGGTGTTTGTAAAGTATCGCTCACGGGCAAAGATTGCTCAACGACTTTTGAAAAAATCAGTTACAATGGCATCACAAGTGTTATATTATGTAAGCCCTTAACCGGAAGAATGCATCAAATTCGTGTACATTTACAATATTTAGGATATCCCATTATAAATGACCCATTGTACAATCATGAAGTATTCGGTCCGCTCAAAGGTCGTGGTGGCGATATTGGTGGACGTACTGATGACGAACTAGTAAAAGATTTGATTCATGTGCATAATGCAGAAAATTGGTTAGGTGTTGATGGAGATTTCGGTAGTGAAGGACTTATATTGCCAAAACATGATCATGATGAAAATGGTGACAAAGAAATTGAGACAGTCACAGAATCTTCTCCTGCAGTTAATGGCGACTTTAATAAAATTGATAAACCCCTCCCTGAAGAAGAGAAAAAAGAACAGTCTAATAAAGTGTCGGTGGGTACACAAACCGGCCATGATCCACCTGATAATGCATATAATAAAGAGAAAACAACTGTGGATGAACATTGTTATGAGTGTAAAGTGCGTTTTAAAGATCCAAAACCTAACGATTTAATTATGTATTTACATGCGTGGAAATATAGAGGTCCTGGATGGGCATATGAGACGGAATTACCAAACTGGGCAGATAAAGATTGGAGTGAAACATGTGATGAATAAAAAAAAGTTACTGCGGGTTTCCAAATTTCTACGGCTTAAGTCATTCTTGTAAAAATATTAGATGAATATTAGGAACACTTTTATACAGTTTATAATGGTCAAGTAGTTTTTATTATTGACGTGTAAGTTTATAAAGAGTTACTTTAAATACATATTCAATCAATTACGTAAGCATTTAATTTTATTGTGAAATAACAAAGTGCTCTATATTCTGTATAAATGAAAAACAGTTAATTCAAAATTACATATGCAATATACCATGTATGTAATAATATAAACACTCTTAAATATTTGTAATAACTTTGAACTGTGTTAAATACAAATAACCAAACAAAATTATATTTTTGTCTGCGAAGCAATCATTTTAATAATTTAGGTTTTTTAGAGGGAGGACAATATGTTTTGAATTAATTATTAAGTAATTTTATTCACATTACACTTGTTTTTAAATTTGTACATTAGCTTATTCATGCTTAAATAAGCTTAAAATAATGCAATAAACATTAATATGTTATATATTTTTAGTGTGCGTAGTTTATTTGGCTCTTTTGCGGTTGAAGCCATTAAAGGAAAATTGATGTACATAATGAGGTTAATGGGTTTTTAAACAAGTCACACATTAACTTCGGTTGCACCGAAGCTATAATACCTTACACAGCTGCATTTTTTATAGTATAAAAAGGTATACAAAGATCTTGATTTTGATCGGTCAGTTTGAATAATAGCAATATGCTATAGTAGTCCGATCTAAACAATTTGCTTGAAGATTGTAGCGATGCCTTGTATAATAATTTATGCCAAATTTCGTGAAGATGCCTTGTCAAGTTAAAAAGGTTTCCATAGACACTTGAGTTTGACCGATTTACAGAAATAACGATTTACGATTGAAAAATGAAATATGAAATTTCAAAATAAATCAGGGGCATTGGTTTATACTATCTGGCATCTCTTGGTTCTCATATTTGTATATTTCTTTATTCATAACAAATTTACTCTTTGAAATTCCTCTCTTTGCCTTTTATCATCATCCGTGCGCTTTTTCTACCAGTTCCATTTTACCTGCTCAACTGCAATTTGTGTGCAGTTGTTCAGTCTCCTAGTTTTAATTGTTTAATTAATTATAGTTAAGCTAAATTTGGTGCTAAACACGTATATTTAACTAAATTCTTATCACAATAAGCTTGTGTTCCTCCAATTTGTATTTATATTAATACAGTGCGTATTATACCATTTTATTTATTACATCAGCGAAAAAATTCGCTTGTCCACTAAGTTTATACACTGATGGCCGAAGGTGAAATTGCCAACGACAAAAGCATAAAAAATGCTGATAATTTTTGTGTAACCGCGACCAACAGCACTTCTATAAATAACGTAGTGTTGGGTGAAAAGTTAAAAAAGATTACAGCACTTTTCTTCGACTTGGACAACACTTTGATTCCCACGCGCTCGGGTGATTTGAAAGCAGTCAAAAAGGTGCGTGTGAAAGAAAAAGGAGAACGGAGTAGGGTTGGGCAGACAATGAGACACGCGAAATTGTTGGAAATTTTCCACTGGTTTATTGATAACAGGAGATGGGAGATGGGAGGTAGGGTGACTAGCACGCGCGATACTTATGCATACGATTTTTTCGATGATACATACAAATTCCGGGTATACGGCAGGGGATAGCAAGATGAGATTACGGAAATAACGTAACCGCAGTGCTGCTTAATTGCTAAATACAATGTACTGAGTATAAATGTATGTATACATATATTTGTAAATTTGTATATATAGTTACGCATTAAAACAATGAAATGGACAAGTATTTTACGTTGCGGACAATGCTTTCCGTATTCAGGGGAGTTCAAGGATAATTATTAGAGTTGCCAAGTTAGAAATGTTTTTCAGTTTTATTTCATATTCCAAAAAACCAATGCAGATTTAATAACTGAAACTTGAGTAATATTTAATTTGAAAAATAATTTTGTGCCTACCAGTCATTTTTTATTACTATGTCTGTTTTATAATATTTAGTTAAGTGAAGTGCTTGAAAATCAATTTGGTTTATCGAAAGAGGAAGCCAACACTGCTACACAATCTTTCCTGAAAGCATTTCGTCGCTGCCCAGATAACTCGCAAACGTCATTAGATTCCTGGCGTACCTATTTATGGCGTGAAGCACTGCCACCGCGTTACAAACATTTAGCTGAGCAAATCTACCCAAAATGGTTGAAATTGCGTTATCGTTATTTGGCGCTATCCGCCGATTACATACAAATGCTATGTCGTGCTCGTGAGTCAAATTTTTTACTGGCCCTTATTACTAACGGACCATCCAATGCTCAGTGGGAAAAGATAAACAAATTGCATGTGAGTCAATATTTTGATTGCATGCTAGTGTCATCAGATCTTCCGTGGGAGAAACCAAATCCGCAAATATTCTATGCTGCATGCAACTATTTAGGAGTTGCTCCATCGCAATGTGCAATGTTTGGAGATAAGCTCGAATCGGACATTAAAGTGAGTATGAACTGACGTAAAAGCCGTATAAGTACATTCATTTAACATCATGCATCTACACAATTTTTAGGGTGGTTGTCTAGCGGGTCTGAGTGCTACGTTTTGGATACCATTGAATGCGGGCGAAATTGACTTAAACGATGTACAACATAAGCCAGATTTTACTCTTAAGCAATTGTTAGATCTATATAAATATTTTCCATCACTAAATAACACTAGAAATGTGCGTGCGAATTCAAATGGTAATACAAATGGCACAAATGTACAATGTAATACTGGAACAACATTCTCCTTAACACATAGTGTTAACGGTGCTTCAGCTGTTCTACCTCAGTATCGTCGTAGAGGTAGTCAAATTAGTCATAGTCGAACCATAAGTACCTGTTACAGTGATCTTCAACGTCATCAAACACATCATCAACAACCAAATCAATTTGGACAAGTACAGAATGAACAAGAATCGCAAGACGAATGGTTCAATGAACGTTTGAATCAAGAGCAGTACAGACAACGTCGTGGTGGGTCTCTACCTACTATGGATTATTTGAATAGTGAAGCAGAAAATAGCTCGGACAGTTTGTTTAGCTAAATAATTAATTATTGTAATAATGGCTGTGCATATTGTTCAGATGTAAACCTCAAACACACATGCTCATTCTACGATCCTAAATATAAACGAACGTACAATTATATAATTGCAATAAATCGCAACAAACTAAGGGGCTTCGGAACTTCGCGTGATACATACGTGATTATAATTTAGACACATTTGTATGTATGTAGATAGTTACCGTAAAAGTCTACCCTTTTCCCCGCACACTAGCTTCGAATGGTTGTGCTTTACACGCTTTATGGGTGGTAAATGTGTATGTGCTCGTACATTTTGCATGTGTGCATATACATTCATACATATGTATATACTAAGGGTAACTAAATAAATTCGAATTGATATGTGAAATAGTGTGTATATTTTAAATAAAGCATAAAATTTACCAGCTAAAAAAATTTTAATCAATATTTTTAAGTTTTTGCATTTTTTATTTGCTTTCATATTTTTCGTAGACATAATAATATTCTTAATAAATATGAACATGTATTTGAGAATCAGAATTTTATACTGAATTTTATTGGGTATGGGATGGAGGCCCTCCGTACAATAAGGAAGGAAATTTTATATTCGATCATGATGTAAATATATTGTATTGATAACCCAATACCAACATTTTTTTCAAAAGATTTCAACCAATGAAAATGTGTTCCTTGACTGATAACTGTGGTGTATGGTTTGTGTGTAATATGGAATAAAATTTTTTAAGTAACACAACCTTATATAAGTGAATAATGATACCCGCAAATATTTGTTATACGGATACCCAGCAAGCAAAAGTATCACATTTGGTTCATACAATGACCTGTTGATTCGCATATATTGAAAATATTTAGATATAATCGATTGGTACTTATCGAAATATGAATATGTTGAGATTACGAACCTGTTTACCTTTTCGATAGTTTAATTCGTAACAGCCATTCAAATAATATCTACATCTATACTTATGACAAGTGATAGCTATTACATTTTAGAAAAAGATATTCATAAAGTGTGGTAGCTATAGAAATATGTAAAAACAGATTTTGGCTATGAACAAATTCGCTGTAAATCTCACTTTTTGAATGTCGCTAATTAATTTTATATTTATTTTGGAATGTATACAAATAATTATTGCTATATTATTATTTATTATCGATTTCTTTATAATTCTTACACATAATCGATAATCGATAATCGAGCTCAGCACTTCAACAGCTGACTGTATTAGACGTTAAGTGGCAGCTTATTTTGTTTGACATTTGAGTTTTCCATGCCAAAACAAAATTTAAATACACTTTTTTCTGCGCCAAATTTGTGTTGTTCCGTTAAAACAAAGCATTCCTATTTGTGTATACACGTTTATTGACTTTTTTTTTTTCAAAAAATTAAATTTATTTGTTACAATGACGAGACGAGGCGCTGCCCGCAAACCACTTCCAGTGACCTCGCCTACAAAGCCTCAGGCGAAAACTACGAAAAAACAACAGATGTGCCGTTCACCAAAAATCAACCAACAACCAGCAAAATCGGTGTACACCATGACTTCTCGTGATTTCCAAAGAGATACAAACGCACACGTAGAAGTTATTGCTGAGCATTTAAAAGATTTTTGCTGCATAAATTTTTTCCAAGCGGCGATAATGCATAACAAACACTTGTTTCGTGGTCGCAAGGTTTTAGACATTGGTTGTGGAGTGGGTATTCTCTCGTTGTTTGCTGCCAAGGCAGGCGCTGCACATGTGTATGCTGTGGATTCGTCAAATGTACTAGACTACACAGAACAAATTGTAAGCGATAATGGCTATGCCGAGGTTATACATGTGATCAAAGGATCATTGGAAAATATTGTACTACCAGTGAACGAAGTTGATATCATTATTTGCAATTGGTTGGGCTATTCAATGTTATTTCAAGCAGCTTGTGATATGGTAATTTATGCTCGGGACAAATGGCTGAAGAAGGATAATGGTATTATATTACCCGATGTGGCCAAATTATTTATGGCTGCAATAGAGGATACTAAGCACAAGAATGAGCGGGTGGAATGGTGGAACGATGTGTATGGTGTAAATATGAAATGTGTGCGTAATTATGCATTATCCGAACCGTGTTTTCAATTGGTTGAACCGAAGCAGGTGTGTAGTTTTTTTTAATTCATATATTACTGTGTTAATTCACTCTATATTTTTTTATTATGCTACGAGCAGTTGATGAGCACTCAATTCGGCGTAAAGTATCTGAATATGTACACCGCCACGAAGAAAGACTTGAAATTCCGTTGCAAATATATGTTAGAAATGCAACGTGGTGGACACATGGATGGGATCGTAACCTTTTTCAATGTTTTCTTTTCAAAGTCCCATACATCAATGGGTTTCAGCACAGATCCTTCTGTGTGGCGTACACATTGGATGCAAACAGTATTTTTCTTTGACAAATCTGTATATGTCAAAGCTGGTGAACTTTATTATGGTGGCATTGAAATGTGTTCAGTTGGTAACGATTGTGATCTCAACAATATGGAATTAAGCCTCGAAATGTTCAGTGGAGATCCAGCTCATCTGCATCTAGAAGCAGAAATGCGCTGGAAACTTAAACCACATGCAGCCATAATAAATGATAGAATTATAGAAAAAAGTAAAGCAACTGTAAAAAATAAAATTGCTAAGGACGAAAAACAAAGGAAGCCCAATGCAAGTAACATTTTGCTTGGGCCAAAGGAAAACGTTTGTTTACCTAAAGAGCCAATAACAAAAACAGTCAAAGAAAAATCCGCAACAATTGTACCTACCAGCGTCGAAATAGGAAATTTCTCATACCCCTGCAACGTAGTGAGGAGGAACAAAAAAGCAAAGAATTCAAAAAAAGGCTAAATTCTTATTAAAAAGAGTTAAATATTTCTATTGTTATTTTTTCAATATTATACAACTTTTCACATATGTACATGTATATAAACTGTTTTATACATAGAGATAAGGCTGAAATTTGGATAACGATTTAATCCAAATTTATCGTTACTAACAAAAAAAAAAAAAAAAGAATTATATACCATTTATTAAAATGAATTAATAATAAGAATTAATAAATATATACACATATATTGTTAAAAAATCGATTTTCTTATTTTAATTATTTGGAAAGTAGTATTTTTAGTAGTAGTGATACAAAAAGTTGGGTAAATGAAATTTGATTACAAAAGTATTTTAACTATATTGTAATATTAGATCAAAGTGATATCTCATATAATTTGTAGGTTAACGATCAATAAGACCAATGCCAATTGTGCTGAAGAATATAAGAAAGGCCATAATCACTTGTCTTACCTTAACCGCTTTTTCCCACGCCTAAAACCACATTTGGTGGCCTCAGTATTTGAGTTAACGATCTGAAATTTCGCACAGGTTTTCTCACCAAAAGCTGCACATTTGTCAGAATCGCCTGAACATAATATTCTGATCGGCACAATAGTACAGAGTTGCCATACAAATGGACCGTTCAAAATCAAGCTCTTGTATGGAAAACTTTGTTATTTGACAACATATCTTCACAAAATTTGGCATAAGTAATTGTCCAAGGCAAAGTTATAATAATCGAAAACATTTTTCAGATCGCATATTTACTAAATATATACTATTGTCATACAAACTGACCGATCAAAATGAAGATAAAGATATATTTATACGCTTTTATGCTATAGGAAATGCACCGGTGAAGGGTATTATAGTTTCGCTGCAGCCGAAGTTAATAATTTTACTTGTTTTACTTACTCTCGACATTTGAGTATTTTCGAATTCTTTTTACCATTTTTTTAATCAAATTATCTGCGAATCCTTCTTCTCGCAGCCCATAAGAATCACTTCCAACCGTTGTTATCTCTCACAAACCAACGAAGAATGCTAGATAGCTGAAATTGTTTGTTGGAAACGAAGTCATTACAAAAATTAAGTCAATACTTTATTAATTTTTTTTAATACATCTGCATACGCTAATAATATTTTCAACCAATAATTATAAATATTGGCTTTAAATGTTTTATCTCAACAATTTTAGTATTTTTGTTTTATTTTCGTTATAAGTTATTATTGCATGTATTTCCAATGAGTTAACACAATTTTTAATTAACAATACAATTTCATTTTTTTGCTTTTGTATGTAGGTACCTACATTTACATACATTTATGTTTGTCTCTATGTGTGTATACAGGCAACATATGTATGTACATTTGCGAAGAAATTACATTAGCAGCTTGCTTCGATATTATGCGTAACTAACAAGGTACATATTTATGTATATATATATTTAAATACATTAGGGTGCGCGTTATTTCCCAAGTTGTGTTTTGTTTTTTGCAAACGCCTGCTGCAGTTTCAGTTTTTGCCCTAAAAAAATCCAACGTAAACAAGCCCCTTATTTTCAATTTAAACCGTGCATAATAATTTTACTTTGTCCATATAAACTCAAATAAACCTAAAACTTTAAAAAGGGGATATTTTCTACAAACAGGTCTTGCGGATTTTTTTCATAAAAAGATTACTTTAAAAGTTGTACGCAGTTAAAGTTATGCATCAAATGTACTGTATTCATATAGTACACCATGTCGTATGAGCAACACAGAATGTAAATATAAATCGCTTGTATAAACGATCAGCTCATTTAATGCATTATTTTAATTGCGTATAATTTACAAAGAAAGGAATGCTTTTGTGCAAAAAATATTTACAAAAAACTGTTTTGTAGAGTGGGAAATTTTGTATTAGTTGTAGATTTCCTTGCTTAATGCAAAATATCAAAAAATCCCTTGCTAGACACATGAGAAAAGAAATATAATTTAAAATTGAAAATAAAGCGCTTGTTTACGTTGGATCCTTAATTTTTGGGTAAAAACTGAAACTTCTGGCGGCGTTTGCAAAAAAAAAACAATAAACTTGGGAAATAACGGACAGCTTAATGTAAATAGTGTATAATTGTATATAAAAGCTCAAAAAATCAAAATGCACCGAAAATAGCAGAGAAACCTATTGTGTGCCTAGTATGAATGTCATATACCATATATTGTATATATATATATATATATATATATATGGAAGAGGCCTAGCTATGTATATGTATGTATGTATGCGTGTTTATTGTACATTTTTACTGTTTTTTCGTAATTTTTTTTTTCGTTGCAATAAAGCAGTTAATTTTTTGTCCACACGAAGTCTTCTGGAGTAAGCACATTTGTATTTAAAAAATTTAAAACAAATGCAAAGTAAACATTTCAAGTCATTAAAAAAACTTCAAACAAAATGCTTCGTCATTATTTTTCCGTGCAATAAATTGATTTGTATATATGTTTTAATCTATAATTACATACATAAATATTATATATATTTATTTGCCACAAAAATCACTTTTTCGTTTTGCAATCGCTTACATTAAGCGTATTTTAATGAACTACAAATGAATACGTATATACATACATATGTATGCAAGTATTTATCAATGAAGTAATCAATTAATTAGCGTTTGCTATAAGCAATCAACGCGCATATTCTAATCTACAAAACTAAGCTTTTACACAGTAAAGGAAAAAGAGCACTTACGTGTTATACATATATGCTATATACATCTGTATATATGTATGCTTATTTATTTATGCACTTATTGGTAAATACTATTGTAGTTGTTGTATTTATGTAAAAATTACACAAAAACACGAGCAAAATTGCTGCATATGTCAATTGAACAAAAAAACAAAAAAAATTAACCGTAATCTTCGAGAGCTGCTATGAATTGCTTGTAGCTAGTAGTAACAAGCTCCGCAAGCATCCCGAAACCATTTAACATCTACGTATTTATGCTTTCGCCTGCTCCACTAAGTGTGTATGTATGTACATATATAAGTATGCAGTTTACTTTGCTGCATCAATCCTTGCATAGGCCAGAAACCTTTATGTACTTGAGTGCAATCATTTACAGTTATAATTTTCTTTCACATTTGAATTCAACATTGTATGTTTGATTATTGTTAAATCTGCGGCAACACACTGGTGGAAAAAGAAAAATAAAATGGTAGGTTAAAATGCTAAATACAAATTTTCAAAAACATAATTTTTAACATAATAATAACTTTAGATAAAACATCTCAGCTAGAACTTGAATTATTCTTACAAGGATACATAAAACAACTAATGAAAAATAAAATAATTTCTGATTTCATACTATCTGATCAAATTTGACTCAGACTGGTTCTTTTAAAATGCGCGCGCAAACCGAATCGATAAATTTAAAAAAAAAATTTGTTAGTACAGTATCGAACAGGCGTTTTGCATGAGATCGAGCATCTTAACCACCTCTGAAGCTAAATATCCATGCTAAGCCCTTGAAGCGTTTGGGTTTTTGGTGCTAAATCCTGCATAGTCGATTAATTTAAATTTTATGTGCCCTGATCCTCAAACGAATCCAGAACAATGTCACAAAAATTTAAATATTTTCGGACTTATGTTAGTATGTTGTTCAGGCAGGTTTCACAGTTAATTCAATCGAACATAAAATAACACTGATCTAATAATATAACAATAATAAAACAAGCTTTTCAAATCACAAAACAGCAAAATATCGATATTTTCAATAAAAAAAGAACTTTAGAAATGTTTGCGATTAAATATCAAAAGTACAAACAAAAAGTGAGAGCGAAGATTTTGTTGTGGGTATTGCTAGTTCAAAAATTGTATATCTTCGAAAATCATAACTTTTCCGAAAACCTACAAGGGCTTGCAGGCTTTCAAAAACCAATTCGCCTGGTAGTGAATTTCATTCCCCGTTATAATTAATCATCTTCACATAAATGCGGCACTGATTTCGTTTCTCAAATTATTTCGTTATTATTGTTTTACTTCTAGGTCATTCGAAGTTGACAGTTAGTTCGCATATTATTTATAATTAAGTACAATAATAATAATAAGTTTACATCAAATTTCGGCAAGACATTTTTTTTTTGTACAAGATAAAAATAATAAACCCAAAAACTTGCTTATTTGAATTTTTCACATACATTTTGAGGTTATGTGGAAATAGTGTGTATACAAAAGTTATAGTTCTTTTCATTTCCATATAAATTTTTCTATAGAACTCGTAGTTTGGCCGGAAATTGAGATGAACTGTTTTTAATCCTTAAAAATTAAATTAAGCCCCTCCCCTTCTTCTTCTCGATCTCAGATCGTCCTTATACTTGTATTATTTTTTCTATAATTTCTGTCATTTAATCTTTCATTTCCAATGGCTTTTATCCTGCTATGTTTTTTTTTTTGCTTTCAAAATTATTTACCTTGGTTTATATAACCAAAATGATTTTACAAAAATTGTTGTTCGAATTTTTTCGAAATTACGTTTAAAACCAAAATAGTCAAAATGTGGTGAATATAGGTTTGAAGTGATATTTTCTTTGTTTAAACAAAAAAATGTATTTGTTTCAGTGAAATTGCCTTAAAATCGAGATTTACCATCTGATCAAATTTGACTAGGACTGACACATAAAAAACCAAATTTAAACGCATTTTAATAAAAATCTTTATTATCGCTTTTAAAATAGGTTTCTGGACTAATACAAGCACGCGCAGTTTATGTGGACCAGCGCGGCTCAAATTTGATTAAATGGTATAAAATTAAAAAATTGTCACGTTATGATCTTTAGTGAAAAAAAATCGGTGAACATTTGTATACCTAACCTGCTTATAACAGCATTTATTCAATCATTTATTAAAAAAGAATAAAAAAGTATATGGCATTGCCTGACAACTTTTTTGTAAGAGATTGTACCTATTTAAATGACCATAAGTGTATATATATTTTTTTTTATAAATTTTCAATGTGTAATTAAAATATTAGAATATTAGAATATCTTATTTAAATAAATTAAAAGAACGACAAAAAACCAAAACAATTAAATAACACAAATAAATCTAAATATAAGACTAAATTCCATCATTTCTTAATGTTTTTACCTTTTAATGTTTTTATCATGGTAAAAACTATTTACTTTTTCTTCTGTGCTGCCAATTCTTCCTCTAACTTTTTTCGCCGTTTCGTCAGCAATGCATTATTGGATTTGTCCAGCGCTTTCACGTGCATCTAAAGAAATGAAAAGAATATAGTAATTTCATTGAATTACTTAATTGCATATAATTAGAATTTACTTTTTCGCTCACCTGATCGTAGTCGACGCGCATTGTAGCCAATGAACGCGTCATTTCCTCTTGCACCTCCGGCCATGTCTCCTCACCCTCCTTGAGCATGCGTCCCGTGCATAGCGGTGTCTGTGGTACTTGTGTATATTGTGCGATCCATTTATTTCTGATCACTTGTTCGATTGTCAAACGTTTGGTGGGATCAACATTGAGCATGCCTTTGATTAAGTCCTTGGCTGCTTGACTGACGTTGGACCATTCGGGGTTTGGAAAGTCATATTGACCGGTACGTATGCGCTTCTTCATACCGGGCGAAATGGCCAGACCGTTGTTGCTGTAAAAAGGTGGAAAGCCGCAAAGCAGTATGTACATGATGACACCCAGCGACCAGATGTCACAGCTTTTGTCGTATTTCTCGGGGCCAAGCACTTCGGGAGCTGTAAGCGGAGTGGGATACATTAAATACTTATAAGCAGATGTAAACAAAGCCTAGAATAGTAGTGAATACCTAAAATGAGTCACTAGATTAGTTTATGGAATCCTTAATTTCACTAGGAGCGGGCTGTGAGTTATTTGAGTCGCCGGAAAAAGCCGAAAAAGTATAGAGTAGACTAAATACAATTAATTTTGTTTGTAAGAGAAAACTGGACTGCAATCATAACCTCAAATCGTTCATACAGAATACGCAACGAAGTTCCTAATATTCTAGACTAGACTCTCTCCCTGATGGAGTTTATTCATTGATCATAAAGATAATTTTCCACAAATAAAAGTTTTATTCAGTAAGTAAGCTTAGGTTCGATGGCTGATCCCCAAGTGAAAGAACGTACTTGGATTACTATATGTATGTAGTTTTTTGTGAAGCCATAAAATTAGAACTTTTGTATCCGATAATACAAGTCGGCAAAGAGTCTTGAGGCCAATACAAATTTGCTCAGGCGTTTAATTTCTATTCAGTGTGATATCTGAAATTTTGAACTCTTAAGTCTTTATGCTTTGATCTCGCAACTCGGACGCCTCTCGAGATATTTCCATATCTACTTCTTCTATACAGCTTCTGCATCTAACATCTGATAAGATGCTCATCCTTACATCGTAGGGCCGATAAGGCAATGACCTGTTAGAACTCCCCACAACTGAGAGCAGCTAACCTTACTGAGGGCAAAGAGCTCACTGGATCTATTACAATTTACCTTGGGCTAATAGAATTTTGCCACAGCGCAAGAACCGATGGTAGCTCAGCGCTGGCGAAGCCCCAGCTATTCAAAAGTAGAACCAGAGCTGGCCCGCCCATATAGGCAAGTGAGGCAATTGACTAGACTTTATAACCTGCGCGGGGTGGAAGTTTTGGCATTTGTCTAGGGCGGTAAATTGTCTCGGGCGGGCACTGAGTAGAATGCACGAGAAGAGATCAGCATACCGACCCGTTCCCATTCTACTGATAGCGGGCCTTGGGTGGCTTTGTTTGTCAGCTCGTCTGAGCCAGCTCAGTATAGCATATACCTCAACAACTCAGCATTTTTTCACCGTAATCGTATCTTTTTATACACTTTCAGAGACTCACCAACATAGTACGGCGTATAGCAGGGCGTCTGCAGTGTGTCCTTTACAAACGTCTCCTTTGCGAAACCGAAATCTGTCAATTTCAATATGGCGTTCTTATCATTGCTGGTATACAACAGATTCTCTGGCTTTAAGTCACGATGCGCAATATCTCGACTATGCAGGTAATGTACGGCAATGCAGATTTCATGCATGACCTGTGCGGCCTCTGAGCAAACAGAATGAATGACAATGCAATTAAACTGTGATAAGATAATATGAACTCAAACACTTACCGCGCTCCGAGAAGTTGCCATCGGCGTTGTCTTGTATGCGCTGAAACAGTTCACCACCCTCCATGCTATAATGGAAAAAATGGAAAATTAAGTAAATATTATTAAAAATATTCAAAATATTTAATTAAAAAACAACAACTCACCACTCCATCACGACGAGCAGACATTTATTTCCGCCATATGTGTTCTCGTAGACGTCGATTATGTTAACAATGTGGCGACAACCGCTCGCACGCCAATGCAAATCCACCTCGCGCCTAGCTTTCGGATTGTCCAGCAGCACTTTGAGCGCATACTTTTGTTTGGTTTTACGATTGGCGCACTGTACCACTTTGCCGTTGATTCCTAGGCCCAGCACTTTGTTGGAGATCTCGTAGTCGTCGACGAGCGGTGTCGTCTTCGCTTGCCTCTGTGCGGCATTCGTATCCGCTTTCGTATTAATTTTGAACATGGCTTTTTTCAGTCACAGCAATATTGTAGCGAACTGAAATTAATGAGCCTCGATTAAATAATAATAAGCATACTTAGTTTAGGAAGAGGATATAATGTGACACTAATACAAATTTAATGTGTTCGAAATGTTTGAGTAATCGGTGGTAAATGACGCTTATTTTCGTATGTTGACGTTCTCATCGGAAACACTCATTATTTCGTGGGTGGTTCAAGTGCAGATAACTTTTGAAAATGCCCGATTTTATCGTCGCATATATGCTTATCAATATTTATCGCATGCTTTTAATCGTCTACACTTTATTCCAATTAATATTTAATGACAATTTATTGCATTATTGTATCATTTATATCCAATAACTCGCATTAGCTTCAGTTAGATTGAGTAGGCGTTGATGAGTAATAGGTTTTTACCGATTCATACGAAATTGTAATCACTTTTTTTTTTAATATTAATTTTAGAGATGACAGGCTCAACTTTTTTGCAAGACTATCGTATAAATCGTTCCCTCGACAGATGGGTAACAGATCCGAATTTACATACCCTCAAGATCAAATTTTGAACCGGGCTAGTCCATTTAAACTGCGCGTGCAAACCTTATCGAAAAATATATATTTTTCTAGGTACAATTTTTTTGTGTGCGTGTGTAGTTTAAATTGACTAGTCCGGGTCGATTTTCATCTTGAGTATAAGGTTTAGCATAAAGAAATCCATTATTTTTGCATTAAATTAAAAGTTTTATTTACTATAGTTGGAATGATTTGGTTTAGATCAAATATACACCGTTTTGTTGGAAAACGTTTAGTCATTTAGGAAGTTTTTTCATATTGCAGGGTAGTAAGTAATCTCTTGGTTCCAGGTTTGAACTATGCTTCTGGCATGTCACACATAAATCCTACCCTATTGGCCCCTCCTGGGCAATAGCTTCTTTCAGACGGACGATCCAATTGTTTAGAGTACAGTTCTGAACTAAGAGTACTTGGCCGTAGGGGCGTAGTTCATAATAGATGATTCCCTGCCAATCCCACCACAATCGTCCTGACGTCACCACTGGCTTGGCCAATGTTAATTCAAGGCTTGGAAAAATATTGGATTTCTTTTTACTAGACTTTATTACTATGTTAAGATCAAAGATTGTTACCTCGATAACAAATATTTATAAGAATCATTTTCGGTACGTTTTATGCCTTGGCAACTCTATGAAAAATATAAATATTTCTCTTTGGTTGTGTTAATAAAATTACCTTAGAGAAGTTGCTATTTTATGTGAAATAATCAATAATTAAATCGTGTTAATAATTTTGGTTTCTTTATACAGACCCTTGATAAGATCTCAACCCAATATCAGACTTTTGATGGTTTTTTCTCTCACTTTTACTTTAATATTTTCTGATTCTAAGCTAATATTAGCACAAGTGCTTGAATCTTTATTTTTATACTCTCGCAACCTGTTGCTACAGAGTATAATAGTTTTGTTCACCTAACGGTTGTTTGTATCACCTAAAACTAATCGAGTTAGATATAGGGTTATATATATATAAATGATCAGGATGAAGAGACGAGTTGAAATCCGGGTGACTGTCTGTCCGTCCGTCCGTCCGTCCGTCTGTCCGTCTGTCCGTCCGTCTGTCCGTCTGTCCGTCCGTCTGTCCGTCTGTCCGTCCGTCCGTGCAAGCTCTAACTTGAGTAAAAATTGAGATATCTTTATGAAACTTGGTAGACATGTTTCATGGTACCGTGAGACGGTTGGTATTGCAGATGGGCGTAATCGGACCACTGCCACGCCCACAAAACGCCATTAATCAAAAACAAATAACTTGCCATAACTAAGCTCCGCAATAAGATACAAGACTGTTATTTGGTACACAGGATCACATTAGGGAGGGGCATCTGCAGTTAAAATTTTTTTTAAAAAAGTGGGCGTGGTCCCGCCTCTAATAGGTTTAATGTGCATATCTCCTAAACCGCTAATGCTATAATAACAAAATTCACTGGAAGCAAATATTTTTAGAACTTCTATTGACGGTGTGAAAATAGTTGAAATCGGGTGGCAACTCCGCCCACTCCCCATATAACGGTACTGTTAAAAACTACTAAAAGCGCGATAAATCAAGCACTAAACACGCCAGAGTCATTAAATTTTATCTCTGGGATGGTATGAGATGACTTTATAGGAACCGCGTTCAAAATTAGACAGTGGGCGTGGCACAGCCCACTTTTAGGTGAAAACCCATATCTTGAGATCTGCTTAACCGATTTCAACCAAATTCGGTGCATAACGTTCTTTTCATGTTTCTATGTCACAGTGCAAAAATGGGCGAAATCGGACTACAACCACGCTTACTTCCCATGTAACACCATTTTCAATTCCATCTGATTATTTCACTTTCCACTATGCAAATCAGGCAACAATGACTGTATCGGGATAAAACTTTGCGTGAATAATGCGATTAAAGTATGCCACCTTGTGGCCAAAAATTGTCTAAATCGAACCAAAACTGTTTAAGCCCCTAAGTACTAAATATGTGGACCCCAGTGCCTATAGTTGACCTTCTACCGAAAATATCAGCCAATCCACAAAGAAATCTCAAACGAGTATACCATTTGACCTTGCGAGAGTATAAAATGTTCGGTTACATCCGAACTTAGCCCTTCCTTACTTGTTTTTTATTACTTTTGCTTCTTCTCGTGGGGTATATCCGGTGAATTTTCTCCATATTCAGTAATAGAAAGTAACGAGATGACTAAGAATAAAAAGTTTGACGTTTCGAACTGAAAGAAGTTTGTGTTCTCTAGTAACCGATATTTACCTAATACGCTCGTATATAATATAACCTTAAAAGTTTTAACGATTAATGCAAAGCTTAAGGGTGCAAATCCATCGAAAAAATCAGTAATACATATGTATATGCATATAAATTACATTGGTTTTATCCTATACGAATTTAGTTAATACTGACTGCTCTTTTTAACTTTTCCATCTGCGCTCAGAATATAATAGCGAATTTCAGTACATCTTCGAATCATATTTTCAGGTTTGATTAAGATTTCAAATTTATTTAAAAAATTCTAATTTCTCACAGTATTTTGCATTTATTAACGATTGAGATTAAAACTTTGTTTTGGGTTAGAGGTCAATCGGTAACTGGTAAAAAAGATATATTGCGTTGGTTTTGCCCTAGTAATAGATTCTTGCAAAAATTTGAACATTTTTGCCAATAAAAAGTGCGCTATAAAAATATAATAATTATAATATATTTCGATAAACAAAACGGTGATTAACCTACATGATTAAGAAAAAAATACACACACATACATATATACTTATATGTATGCATTTGTCAGTCAGTGCATTTTTATTTAGAGTATAGAGATGTACGTCAGTGGCAGACCACAAGACCTACTCAATGTCCACTAATGACCACAATTAATTAAGAGGTGTTTCAGTGTTGCAATTTAAAGTGATTCAGCCATACAGGTTTAAAAATGGAATTTTACGGTAAGTCCATTTTGATATTAATTTTCCAGCAATTCCATTTTCTGCGGAATTATCATACATTCAATATAAATAAATCAATATATAAACACAACTACGTACATAAGTAAAATTAATGCATACGTAATTAAAAGACCTAACAAATGAATTCATTTCACATGCAGCTTCATGAATATACATACAAACATATATATGCATATATACATAATAACATAAAAACATATTTATATATTTTGTGTGCTCCAACAGGCAATGCATTACTTTTTGCACTTTGTCTAATAGTTTCAAAACAACTTGCTAGTTTTTCAAATTATTAACCATATAGATTAGGGTGTGGCAAAAAAAACCTAAAATGTTGCTTTTTCGCTTCGTAATCATTAAAAGTTGGTTGATAAGACACCTCTAAAAAGCGTTAACGGTTTTCTATTTTTTTATAACATTCTATTCATATCTCGCTTCCAACTACTTGAAAATACTCGTATTTTCGTTTTGTGGAGCGGAAAACTTCCTACAAGACTAAGGACTTTGCAATTTAATATGATGTTTTTTCATTGAGTTATTAAATTAAACAAAAAAAAAAGGAAATTTGCCTTAAAATAAGCAAAAACAAACATTCGATTTTTTTTGAACCACCCTAATAAAGATAGATTAAGTTTAAGAGGAACGGTTGCTTTTTATAAAATCGAACAGTGTAATGGTCAAAATCGTTGTTTTTTCACTTAATCTAAGAACCTTAGACTATACCCTATAACATATAGGCATTCATTTGAGCAATCTTCTAATCAAATCAGTTCTAAACATCTATAAACGCAAATTTTGAGGTTGAAATTTTTTTTGGATATCATTGAGAATATAATACGGTCACCAATACTATGCTCATCACCTTTGAAATGTCAAAGAGTCATTTGTCATTTGAACACAGAAAATTTAAATATTACTAGACGGGCAATAACGTTGACAAAATATAATCTACTCGAAATAGGAGAGAAATCTGTTTTAACATTACTGAGGAGGATCGGTCCATTTCCAATTCGTTTTCATTTTCACAATATTCGAAGTGTATATTATATCGCACGAAAATATAATTTTTCTACAATATATTTTCAAAAAGACCCAAGTGATTTGAGATATAAAGCCGAAAGCTGTCGAAGTCTCAGGATCGCTACCCAACACTTAATTTTAGAATGGGCGTGGTCGAGATCAAGTTTTTGAACAGTAAGATCCTAATTTTTATATATCGAACTAAAATGTACTTTCTCAATAAAAAAAAGCTTTAGAGGCTTTAGAGAAACGAGAGAAATATTTAACAAAATAACACATAATCTAATACGAGAATAGGTGGGAAACAAATGGGGGTGTTCAGTAAGTAGCGTGTTTAGGCAGAATGATAAAACACTATGTTTGGTAATTATAATAAACTTAGAATGTACCTTATTTTAATAATAATGTTTTTAATTATTTTTTTAATTTTTTTTTTTTTATAATAAACCGGGGCAGCTTCGTAAAGAGGTTATAGTTTGACGAAGTTTTGGCTTGC